GCTTTAGCTGCCTGCAAAAAGTCGGCTTCAGCTTCCTCGACATTCATGTACTTGGCGAACCTTCCTAATACTTCATCGAACGTCCTCCCGGGTCGTTTTGCTGAGGAGTTTCTGCCCAATCCCGAGAGTAATCCTCGAGTGAGTCCTCCCGACTTGATTTCCTCAGTGGCTGAGGGGACGTCGACGCATGCTCGCGTGTATCTTGCTACGTAATCCCTCAATGATTCTCCTTCTTTCTGTTGCATGCCTATCAGGGTAAGGTAAGACGTTTCTTGAGCTTTTACACTTGCGAATTGATTTAGGAAACTCGATCTAAATCCGTCAAAGTCCCTGACGGCTCCTGGGGGTAACTGATGAAACCAGTCTTGCGCAGACCCTCGCAGAGTTGTCAGGAACGCTCGACATTGAACAGGATCATTGTAGCGGTACAGTACTGCCATGTTTTCAAAACTCCTTAGATGTCGAGAGGGGTCAGTCGACCCATCGTACCAGATGTTAAGTTCTCTAAACCCCTGAGGCAGGTCGGCATCTAGAATATGCTGTGAAAAAGGGTGTCCCCTCGAGCTTCCTGTTTTTCTCCCCTCTACTCGAGCCTGCAAATCTCGCACATGCGCTAACAATTGCTCCAGGGTGTCGTTTCTCGCCTGTGGATTGACAGTCCTGACAGAGGATTCCTCTTCATCTGCCCTCCTATTCTGCCTTTCATGCGACTGCGCCTGTTGTTCGCGTTCTGGGGGTTGTTGTTCATTTTGGGGCTGATCGACCCTAGCTTGTTCGATCCTAGGCTGCTCGACTCGAGTCTGTTTGATTTGGGCTGCTACAGCTTCGGCAATCATCCTCTGCATCTCGCTTCTCGTCATGGTCAGTGTTTGTTCCTCGATTTGGGGTGGTGGCCTTGTCTCCTGATAAAGTCGTTCAGGCTGCCTCCCCAATCTCAAAGATGTTTCGGTCGATGCATGACCATCCTCTTCTCCGCCCGTGTCCTTCACGTGACTGGCCTCCCCCTGGGTGAGAACTGGGATCTTGACTCCAG